AAAACAATGAACAATATTTCAAAAGGTTAACAGCCCATAATTATTTTATAAATAGCTGGAAATCTATGCAGAAGAATAGGCTGTATATCGAGTAATGCTAAGCAGTTTATTACGGTATTTTACTGGTAAAATCAAACCGACACTTACATTCACAGTTTTCAATAAATTTTTCTTTTTGTGAAAGACATTTTCAGCACAACTACTACAGCTGTCCTCAGATTTCATGCCATTACCATCATAAGGCAAAATTACACAGCAAACTTTAGCATGAAAAATACATTTTAAAAAAAATACTTTATTTTTTATTTTTAAACTTTGCAGACATATAGCTATAAAATTTTGTTTTTGGTAATAACATAGAAAAAACGCACACGTCATTTATTTAGTTTTAAAAGAACATGTTTGAAGAATCAATAGTGAAAATGTATATTCCTGCGCCATAACTCGAGGAGCCGCTCATGAATATTAATTAGAACACAGTGACGTCACGCCTTAAGATCACGCGCATCAGGAACACATTTACCACGAGATAAAAACACTGAACTAGTGTAGGATGAAACCAGCAGGAGGCAGCAGAGTCTATTTCAACGTAAATCTTTGTTTATTTGCTCTTCATTTGTACAACATGAGAATGAGATTTGACTCTGAGCAGAACACAGATCCCTGATTGAAGGCTTTGAGCAGGAGCCCGTCCCGTCACCCGAATCATCACACAACATACAAACAACTCAGATTCAATTACATCAACGAATAAACAACGTCTCTGGAGAGACTTTACTTAATAACAGGGCGTTCATATTTCCAAGCACAAATATATACAATAAATTAATATTCACCAAACATTTGCATAACCACTTTAGTGCATGGCTCAAGATTTCCTGAGAATAGTTGCAAAAAATAAAATAAAAAATAAACTAAGGCAGCTTGACCTTTTTTCATAAAAAATTCAGCAAAGTACTTAATATTCATGATGCAAAGATTTTTTTTTTTTTGAAGAAATTGACGATTTACAATCATCATAAGTGGAACAAGATAATATTTCACAACACAAAGATTCCGTTTTAGTGCAAATAAACCTCTTTGGGTAGTTTCCCTACTGTCAGCAGTACAGTAACAAACACCAGACGAAAATCCCAGAATGCATCCCGACACGCTTCCCATGAGGCTCGGCGTGCGTCTTATAGAGACTGTAGATCGATTTGATATACAAGGTCGAAGAGCGAAAAGAAAGCGGCTAAAGCTATAGTTGATGTCATTAATGACTCATATTTCATATAATGCAAATCATTTTATAATCTCAAAAATATCTCAGATATGTATTTGCTTTAAGAAAGGCAAGGCTCCTCCACGTTTCATTCTGTCTGTTTCTATGCTGGTCATCGGAGGCGATTGTACTTTTAATCAGACATTCAATGTGCAAAACTTGCAAAGAGAGGACGTTTGAATCTCAGTTCTCAACAATACCTGAGCGTTTATATGTGCGTTTGCACACGTACATCTGACCAGGCTTCACCCGTCTCCCTGAGGCCATCACCAGGAGAAAGGCAGAACCGATCCTCAAGGAGTCGCTCAGACTGATCTCAAAGACTCAAGGAGTCGCTAAGACTGAACTCAAAGACTCAAGGAGTCGCTAAGACTGAACTCAAAGACTCAAAGGAGTCGCTAAGACTGAACTTAAAGTCTCAAGGAGTCGCTAAGACTGAACTCAAAAACTCAAAGGAGTCGCTAAGACTGAACTTAAAGTCTCAAGGAGTCGCTCAGACTGAACTCAAAGACTCAAAGAGTCACTCAGACTGAACTCAAAAACTCAAAGGAGTCGCTAAGACTGAACTTAAAGTCTCAAGGAGTCGCTCAGACTGAACTCAAAAACTCAAGGAGTCGCTCAGACTGAACTCAAAAACTCAAAGGAGTCGCTAAGACTGAACTTAAAGTCTCAAGGAGTTGCTCAGACTGAACTCAAAGACTCAAGGAGTCGCTAAGACTGAACTCAAAGACTCAAGGAGTCGCTCAGACTGAACTCAAAAACTCAAAGACTCAAGGAGTCGCTCAGACTGAACTCAAAAACTCAAAGGAGTCGTTTTGACTAACCTTAAAGACTCAGAGACTCAAGGAGTTGCTCCGACTAAACTCAGACTCAAAGACTCAAGGAGTCGCTCATGAAGGAAGCGAAGAGAAGGAAGATTCGATTCTTCTAAGGAAGAGAATATGCAGAATAACCCAAGCGCCTCAACCAGGAAAGTCACAATAAATATCAAACCGACAAATAAATAAATAGAATAGTATACAAAAGAATATTCCACCCTGCCATGTCACCTTCTTTAAAGAAAATGAGTGCGCAGGAAAACCAGATGCGTCCTCTAAAATAAATTCAGGATGAAATCAAGCTCATCCTCCCAAACAAGCAAAAACCGCCGTAAACGAAAATCAAACAAATGCGTCTGATTAAGATTCTCAAGTCCTGAAAGCCCTTTAAACGTGTGAGAACTGAGACCTGGTCCTTTTTAAGTCTTTCTCACAAAGACGACAGACAGAAAAGAAAAAAAACACATTTAAAGGCTACAAATATCTGAAAAATTCATTGACATATAATTAATCTCAGTTACTAACCAATATTCTTTGGTATGAAAGGAAATTCTATCATTTAAAGAAGAAATAAATTCCAAACTCTTTTCATTTGGAAAAGGCTAAATTTAAGAGCAGCTAGAGTATATTCCCCGTCATGAGGTCCTGAGCGCCAGTAGGTGGCGATATACACGTCCCGTTTAGAGCAAGGCCACGCCCCCTCTCCGCCTCCAGCTGCTTCATTTGCATTCTTAACTCAAGTTAGTTTTTTTTTAAATCAGGTTTGTTCAATCACTCCATCGTGTAGAAATCTTGCATAGCGTGAAGATTAATAAGACGAATCTCCAAAAGCAGTCAATTTTGGATTCATACAAAAACCACGTACCGCAGAAACAAAGCACAAAACAAAGAGTGATTCTTCATGAGCTCCACCAGCACCAGAAACAGAAGATGATGCGACTACACCACAGATATATGATGGAACACACACACACACACACACACACACACACGTCACTCTTCCTCTTCGCCAGCATCTTCCTGCTCCTCATCCTCCTCCTTCCACGTTCTGTGTGTGACGGAGCCGCTGCCGTGCGGAGACGAGCCGCCTTCGGGTTTTTCCAGGGATTTCCCCAGTGGCCCGGCGACGGATCGCCACAACAGCTCCTGGAAGGGCATCCGGGCGCCGGCCAGCAGCGGGACCCCCGGGACGGGCCCGCCGTGGCCCTCGAGGAGCCCTGCGGCGGCGAGCTGCTGATGGAGGCCGAAGGGTTCTGTGGGAGGAGACGCTCCCGGATCCGGGCCGGGGCCGCGCCGGGGCCGGCGGGTGCGGAGCTCCAGGCAACTGTGGCCCTTCCGGTGCCGCTGAAGATGGTCCTCGCGGGCGAATGCCTTGTGGCACAGCGGGCACTCGAAGGGCCGGTCGCCGCTGTGAAGCGAGAGGTGGTTCTTCAGGTCGTAGGAGTGCAGGAACCGTGCGGGACAGCTGGGGCACGGATACGGGCGCTCACCCGTGTGCTTACGCATGTGGATCTTCAGCTTGTCATTCCTGAGACGAGAAACAAGCGAGAATAAAGGAGTAGTTCAGAATTAAAATTTCCTCGGAATTTCCTCGAAAGAAATGAGGAACACACTCCAGGATGTTTCTCCATATAGTGTCTTCAATGGGGTCCAACGGGTCGAAGGTCCAGATGTGAGTTTCAGTGCAGCTTCAAAGTCTCGACACGATCCAGCCGAGGAATAAGAGTCTGATCTAGACAAACCAGCCGACATTTATAACAAAATACACATTTATATACTTTAATCCACTAATGCTGGTCTTGCTCGAGCTGTGATGCGACACACATTACGTGATCAGGGTGAAAGGTCAAGCGTGTTCCGGTTCAGAAATGTAGGGAAGGGCGAAAAAACTTTCACGTTCTCTTTGTAAACACTGGGTTGGTTCTTACACCTACCTTTCAACACCTTCTTACACCTATCGTTCTTACACCTGCTTGACCTTTCAACCTGATTGCGTAATGTGTGTCGCATCACAGCTCGTGCAAGACCAGCATTAGTGGTTAAAAGTATATAAATGTTTATTTTGTTATAAATGTCCGCTGGTTTGTCTAGATCAGACTCTTATTCCTCGGCTGGATCGTGTCGAGACTTTGAAGCTGCACTGAAACTCACATCTGGACCTTCGACCCGTTGGACCCCATTGAAGTCACTATATGGAGAAACCCTGGAGTGTGTTCCTCAAAAACCTTTATTTGGGGACGTGGGGAGGAGGTGAGTAAATTATCAGGAGATTTTAATTCTGAAGTCAAACACAAATATACTCAGAAATTGCTAGTAATTTTCTCTAACAATCACAAAGAAGCAAAATGCGCTAAAGGTGTGTGTGTTACCGTGTGAAGCGCACGCCGCAGGCCGAGCACTGGAACGGCTTCTCGCCCGTGTGTGTCCTCATGTGCCGCGGCAGCTTCCCGGCCCCGTGGATGATCTTCTGGCAGACGGGACACTGTTGTGGCGTCTGAGACTTTCTCTTACGAACGCCGACCGTGGCTCCGCCCCCTCCCCCGTCCCCCTGCTGTGATTGGCTGTGATGAGGCGTGGCCCGCCCCTGCGCTCCAGACTCCTCCTCCTCAGAGGGCGTGTCTTCGGGCCTGTAGGACTCGTGCGCGGCTCCGTTCATCAGGAACCTTTGGTGGGCGTGGGCTTCTCGTCCCTGCGTGGGAAGCAAACCGTATTCAGGCGTATCCTCAGACGCGGGCGCTATGAAGCTAACAGGTCTAGCGGGAGACACGGCTCTGGCTACGGAGCACCGGCCCTGCTTGCGACGCGACGGCAAGCGCTCCGCCTCCTTCACGGGATTCGCCAGATCATCGCCCGCCTCGCCCAGAATGTCCCGGCACGCGTCCGCCACGCACTGGATGCCCAGCAGCTGCGCCCCCTTCAGGACGTCCCGCATGCCCGAGCTGCGGATGGTTAGCGTAGCGGTGTAGGCGAACTCCAGCAGCGCGGCGAGCGCGTCGGGCGACACACAGTCCAGCTGGCACACGCTGCACCCGTCGCCCACGCCCTCGCCCCCCTCCTCGCCCTCCTCCGCGCCGAACAGACGCCGGAAGTACAGGCTGACGGCCGCCATGACGGAGCGGTGCGTGGGGTAACGTGTGCCGCGAGAGGTCAGCGTGAGGTCGCAGAGGAGCCCGTTCCGCCGCTGCGCGTTGAGACGGGACAGCAGCTCATTGCTGTGCTCCGGGAAGGGGATCCCGATTAGACCGTCCTCTCCTGGAGACATCGCCACCTGCAGGCACAGAGGAAACACACGTGAGCGGTTCTCATGCACTGGCCAATCTTGAGATTTTGGCTTTTCATAATGTGTTTTTTCTGACTAGTGGAAAGAAAACATGCAGAGCACACATTTAAGTGTTTATTTTATTGCATTTTATCTATTTGCACGTATTTGTGCGTACATGCATGTGTGTGTGTGCGTGTGTCTGCATGCATATGTTTGTATGTGTGTGTGCTGTGTGTGTGTGTGTGTGTGTGTGTGGGTGTGTGTGTGTTTGTATGCATGTGTGTGCACGCGTATGTTTGAATGTGTGCGTGCATGTGTGTGTGAGTTTAAATGTGTGGATGCGTGTGTGTGTGTGTGTGTGTGTGTGTGTGTGTGTGTGTGTGTGTGTGTGTTTGAATGTGTGTGCATGCATGGGTGTGTATGTGTGTGTGTTTGAATGTGTGTGCATGCGTGCGTGTGTGTGTGTGTGTTTGTATGTGTGCATGCATGTGTGTGTGTGTGTGTGTGTGTGTGTGTGTTTGTATGTGTGCATGCGTGTGTTTGAATGTGTGTGTGTGTGTGTGTGTGTGTGTGTGTGTTTGAATGTGTGTGCATGCGTGCGTGTGTGTGTGTGTTTGTATGGGTGCATGCATGTGTGTGTGTGTGTTTGTATGTGTGCATGCGTGTGTTTGAATGTGTGTGTGTGTGTGTGTGTGTGTGCGCGCATTTGCGTCTGTAGATCTTTAAAGGCGATGAGTTTGAGTCAGAAATCTTCAGCAGTTTTACACACACCAGATTTTACAGCTTTACTCATATCTATTTTCTGGATGTTTGTTCAGATATCATTCTGAACAAACGATGATTTATAAAACATTTTACCCCTAAAAAAAATTTGAAAGTGTATTTATTTTCTGTCTGTTGAATATTTTCTGAATCATGAACGTGGCTTCATCCAATGTTCTGATTTCTGTTCTGGAAACCTATGCAAATGAGCGCATATTTAATTAATGTTCCTCATTTGCATATTTAAACAAAACCTGTAATACAATATGCAATTCTTCATGTGATCAATCAACTGGGGAAGTATTCAATTCAATCCAATGCACAGTTTACAGTAATATATACAGAATCACAGTTAGCGAAAAATGTACTAATTTAAACAATGTAATAATTTAAGGCAGAAACTATGAGCTCATTGAAGTAATGAATTTAACAAATGATTATGACACAGAAAATTGAAGTGCATATTAACTCAGGGTTCCCGTCATCTGATGATATCTATAAGTTAATCTTTTACTCTGCCTTAAAAACACATGCAGTCTTTTCAGATTTCCAGGTTTCTCAGAAGCAGAACTCATAGTTCTATAGTGGTGAACGGAAACTACAACAAATATTGTTTCTTCTCATCGGCCCCAAAAGCTGAAGAAAACACATCCATGAAAGAGTTTCTATCACTTTCCACCAGAAGAGAAAAATATTATTGAGAGATTGATTACGGCGATCAGAAGAGAATCCCACACACTGCTATAGCTTGCAGAACTCTGGAAACGTTTCGGTCGTGCGATCTTCATCAGAAGTTCTCAAACAGGAAGTCAAACACAGACTCGAGACACGACGCAACCAATGAAACACTGCTGCAATTAACAAAAGCTGATCGGAAGAAAGAAACACGTCAAAGTTGCAGTCACTCACACAGTTTTCTGCAATTTAATGCCAAGGTAATGTAACACACAAACTATAGAGTTATAAATGTGCATAAATGCAATGTTAATAACTGTGAAAATGCGTCACACAGTCTATGAAGAGGTGCATCGATGTAAAGCCTGATTTATGAATATACAAGAACAATTGTTATAACAATAATTAAAGTGTTGTTTAATCTGAACATACGAACATAAACGTGAACATGTTATAAATGTGGAGTGTGTTGAGCAGCACCAAACAGAAGCTCGTCTGCCCTTGTTTGGACACACAGACCCGCTCAAACAGGAATCGCTGAATACTGAATATATATATGATACTATAGAGAGAGAGTGAGTCACTAATTGACGGGTCTGTTGCTGGATGACTAGTCCACATCCCTGATCGGACTCAGATCAAACATCTGCCAGAAACACTGCGCCCGCCCACACACACACACACCTCTTGCTTTTTTTTTTTTTTACTCTTTATTTGGC